GGGTCTTTACATCTTCAAAGTCTCTTTTTTATTGTAATCCAGAAAAAAACATTGCACTCACCAAGAACAATCTTCTCTTGCCATGAAGAAAATCTGTTTATCTGTAGACTGATTAAATGAAAATGTGGTTAAGAAATTAAGTTGGCTTAATTTATTGTGCATATAAGCTACATTATAGTTGTGAGCTTAGATGGGATCCGGTGACTCCTAGCTGTTTGATTTAGGAGCCAATTACAAAACCTTTTATTCCTGCAGTTTATTCATGAGGAGCAACTATCCAGAGGACAAGCGGATTATTTCATAATCTCTCCTTCATCCGATACATTTTGTCAGCCAGCAGCTGCCCTCCAATCAGCTCTGCCAGTGTCACCGCTTCTTCAGAGACATCGGGTCCACTATAATTCTCACCAGAAGCCCAGCAATGGCTAGAGTTCTAATACTAGAGTTCTAATTCAATGAATAACATCTGCACCAGAAAAGGAGAAGAATCATACCTTCTGGGACTGCAATGTAATTTCTGAAAGAAAGGTCCCCAACCTCCAGTCAGTGGACCGCCACTGGGCTGCAGCATGCCAGAAACTGGGTTGCACAAACAAGCGAAGTCCCATCCACAGGATTCAGGCAGCACACAAAACCAAGCTCCCTCCGGGGTCCATGGAAAAAACCCTTTCCACAGTACCGGTCCCCGGTGCTCAAAAGGCTGGGGGCTGCTGCTCTACCTGAATAAAATTAGTGGGTGCTAGATTATCTAGAGGACGGGGCTTTTCAACCTTTTCACAGATTAACCACTTTTAAGACATGACAATATTCGAGTACTACCAATGCTTAGCAAGGTGTCAAAAACTTGATGACTGAAAAAAGGGCGGGATTTTGGGTTTTACTGATTAGATTAATTTGTTGTTATAGAAATGGCTAGTTTATACTATAATGGAAAATAAAAAGTTGAGGTTTGATGGTAAGGCTTCATTGTACTGCAACAGAGGAAGTCGGAATCAATGCCTTTTCTTTTCCCCTTCTCCCCTCACCTTTTCCCCCTTCTTCCTCCCCACTGTGTCATACTATTTGCTTTTGTATTTTTGTATTTTATTCCATAATCTAACAAAATGTTACAAACCATTAAAAAAAGGAAAAAAGTACTAGTGGCGGTTCCTTTGCTCTCTGGCGGTGCAGGCTGCCCAGAGCTCTGGGCAGTGGAGGGCAGGCACCCAACTCAGCCCAGCCTTCCCCAAGGGGGCTCCAGCTGCACTTACCTCCTCCTTGAGGCTGCTGCTGCTTGGCTCGCTCTCCTTGTCCAGATTGCTCTTGGTGTGTGCAGGAGGGCAAAATGTGTGGGTCAGAGGGAGGCCCACTCCCACTCCATTGGAGGAGATCTGGCTTTGTAACCAAAGCATCCTCAGTGATAGGATGGAAGACCACCAAGAGTATCAGGAGGAGGGGACAAGGGGATGACAAAAGGGCAGCAGGGCTGGTCGTGGCCAAGTGCTAAGGCAGGACTTCCCTCAGACCCTCCGTCCCTCTCATTATAATCTTCCTTCCTTCCTTCCTTCCTTCCTTCCTTCCTTCCTTCCCTGCTTTTTTTTTTGTTTTTAAGTTGCCTGAAGCTCCAGGCAGAAGTGGCAACATGCAGGCAGCGGTGGGCAGAGGCTTCCTATTTTGACCCCTTCCACCTGTCGTTGCCTCTGTGTGGCTCTCAGCTCACCTCTCCCAGACCTGAGCATGGTTTTTTTGGTGTGTGTGTGTGTGTGTGTGTGTGTGTGTGTGTGTGTGTCAGCCCTTGCAGTCCCATGCCCTTAACAGAGACCTTTTGCGATGGTAGGCTGCAAACTGATGAAAGCTCTTTTTTTGGAGTACTTGTTTCTTTTTCTCAATGTGCCGCCGATTGCATTGCGCCCTGCCTCCCTCAGCTCCCACCCCCAAAGGAAGCTGGAAGGCTTCAAGAAGCTCTCATCGCAGCTTCTCTTTACACACACACACACACACACACACACACACATGCACGGGTCTGGGAGAGGTGAGCTGAGAACCATGCAGAGGCCCTTCAGGCACAGAGGCAATGACAGGGGGAGGGGTCAAAATGGGAAGCCTCCTGCCCGGAGCCTCTGGCAGCTTAAAAAAATGAACCTGCAAAGTGCTCAGAGCGCAATCCCCAGGGACACTGGGCTCTGTGTGCTCACTGCTGGCTCCTGTGCACATGCCCAAGGGGTGGGGCAGGGGCGGAACTGAAGTGGCGAGATCGCCTGTTGCTGGTTCCAAGGCTGCTCCATAGATCTAAGGCTGAGCATGTTCTGGCTTTGATGGTAGCTACGAGGTTGTAAATCAGCATCTGGTCGGCCTGGGCTTGTCTCTGTCTTTCTGAACTGTCAGCAGGGATGGTCACCAGGGAGCGGGGCGGGGGCAGCCCCTCGGTGGCCCTTTTCTGCCAAAACCTTCTCTTTTTATATCCTTTCCTCTCTGCCCCTCCTTTTCTGTGCACCTCCAACTACACGCTGCTTTTGGAAGCGCCAATCAGATGGAGCCCGGTGCTGATCCTGGGGCTTCTGCTGAGCCCTGACAGCCCTGCAGAAGTGCCAATCAGCTTGTAGCCGCTTATACAGATCCTGGGGCTTCTGCCAAGCCCCGACAGCCCTGCAGAAGTGCCAATCAGCTTGTAGCCGCTTATACAGATCCTGGGGCTTCTGCCAAGCCCCGACAGCCCTGCAGCTCCAGCTGACTCTCCCTCAGGCTTGTGAGATGCTGCCGCCACTTCAGCTCATTCCTCTCCTCCCTGCTACCATTTCTCTAGGATGGCCGTGTACCACCTGTCAGGTAGTATGTGTACCACCGGTTGAAAAGCCCTGATCTAGGGGACATGAAAAGAAATTATGCTGAACATGAGATTTTGATGCCCTTGTCCTTTGCTTTGGCATATCAGAAGAGCTGTGCATTTCTGAGCACAAAATACAGGCCATCTGTTCCAGAATTTTATTCCTGCAATAATAAACTGAAATCAATGGAAAATCTGCAAAAACCCTCACATGATAGTACAGGTAGTCCTCGACTTATGATCACAATCAAGCCCAAAATTTCTGTTGCTAAGTGAGACAGTTGTTAAGTGAGTTTTGCCCCATTTTTCATCCTTTCTTGCCACAGTTGTTAAATGAATCACTGCAATTGTTAAGGCAGTAACATGGTTGTTAAGTGAATCTGGCTTCCCCATTCACTTTGCTTGTCAGAAGGTCACAAAAGTTGATCACATGATCCTGAGACACTGCAACCATCATAAATACCAGTTCCAAGCAACCGAATTTTGAATACATGACCATGGAGATGCTGCAACAGTCATAAAAGTGTGAAAACTGGTCATAAGTCACTTTTTTCAGTGCCACTGTAACTTTGAACAGTCACTAAATGAACTATTGTAAGTCAAGGACATTCTGTAATTTCACTCTCAAATTTGTAATTCTGCTACTGGTAGAAAAACACATCACCATCAATAATTAGAAGCCAAAAATAAATAGCCTTGCTCTTTGTGCATAGTGTTTCATGTACGCTATACAATTCTTATTACAGTGTAGATAAGACAGTTCCTCCCAGCAAGCATTTATCTTTGGCAATACAATTCAACACAAGTATCATCTAAAAGGCAGCTGTGTTTGTTTGCCATGATGGTGAAACATTAGCATTTAAAGATGAAAAATTATTTGATGGAAGAAAAGCTGTATGTTGTAAGAAATTCCATAATTTAGCCACCAGAGGGCAACGTTAGATCACTGTTTCTATCACTGTTTCTGTTGCTGAACAATTTCATATGTGGGGTCTACAGTATCACAGTATTTCTCATCCTCACTAACTTTAAGATCTGCAAACTTCAGTTCCCAGAATTCCCCAGCCAACATTTTAGTTGGTGAGATTTAAAAAGACTGGTCTATCAGATTTGGGTTGGAGAAATTAAAAAAACCACTAGATGGAAGAGATACCGAGAATTTTAGCTCGTTGCTGTCATCTAATAAGTGTCTAGATTTTTGCAGCACCTAACTGACAGTCTTACCTGGAAATCCAGTGGAGGTGACATTTCAAGGAAAAGACTGGCTTTTTGAACCAGAGTTTTATGAACATAACAGTTATATTGATCCTTTTAAACATTTGTCTATCTTGAACCATCCAGTTTGGCAGTTAAATATTAATGCTAAAGCATGAAAAGCAGAACCAGTGCTTTCCCCAGAACATATTACCGAGGGAAGCCTTTCCTACCATTGAGAACATTTCTCTTACTTAGGCTTGGTGATTATTAATTCCCAAGTGGCTGGAAAGAATAGAATAGCCAAGCAAATATATCAGATTAGAAGTGAAGCATTTGGGGTATCTATGATATCTCAATGCAGAGTCCACTGCATATCAAAATAGGGAGAAAAATTGAAATGCCCCAAATCTCCCAATAATCACAATGGTACCTGTGTTCTCATATAAAGCCTCACAAAATTCCAGCAGCTATTTTTCTTTTATATCATTTGGTGCTTGTATATCATGCAAAACTATGTAATGGTGACCTCTGCTTGGGAAGGTTGCTGATCTCTGAGCCAAACATAATAAGAGTTTTTGTGTTTGTGTCTGTTTGTGTCCTAGCATATTATATGAACCTAGCCTTTGTTTACACTTACAATGTGTGAACCTAGAAAATCATAGTTTATAAAACCTTGGTTTAATTTACTGAACTCATTCACTAAATCAACATATCTGATCCAGTGGTGGGATTCAAATATGTGAACAACTGATTCTCTGTGTGGATGCCGCTTCTGGAAGTCCGTTCTGGGCAACAAAAAATTAGCTACCGCTTCTGCTGAAGTGGTGTGAACCGGCTGAATCCTACCACTGATCTGATCCCCTAAATAGCCTTGCAGATACCTTCTTTTCAAAGTGCAGTGTTAAATGTCTCCACAGTGGATTTAATTCCTGATAATTATTCACTAACACCAGATGTTTCAGACTTCCTCTCAACAATTGGTAGTTTTCAAGTCATTCCATGCAATTATAAAAAGGATTTTATTGAGCAATAATGGTATCTACAGTTCATGCATCTACATTTTTAAAATATTGTCAGCATGCATTTTACACATACAAAAAGGTTTTGATGGTATTTTGAGTGTCTCAGAATCTCCCAAGACCTATTTTTTCCTTGTTCTTGTTTTTCCCTCCATGAATTTTATAGAAATGAAAGAACTCAATGGATGATAGATGAAAGCACCATAGATTCTTATGGCAGTAGCTGGTACTGTACTATGATTTGCATGAAATTTAACACAGGCAATTCTACAGTCAAGCAAACAAATTACAGCAAATGTAATTAGACTTACAGGAACCAAGAAAGCAATGCTATTATAACAAGGATTTAGGATGCACCTTTTATTGGATTATTGTGCTGAAATGGGAACATACAGAGTAGTACAAGCCTAAAACGCTCAATTCTTCATTATATGCTGACTAAACATCTTGCTTGTATGATACTGAATCTTACCAACCATTTTAATGCCTATGGTTCTCATTGCATTTTATTACTATTTAGAAACATGCCTTCAAACAGTAGCATTGTTTATATGCACTCAAGCAGCACATGGAAAGGAATATAAAATACGCATGCTGAAAGCATTGAGTAATGAATTGCATTGCACTATAACAGAAGAAAGGAAAAAAAAAAACCTGGTGGTTGTAGGATTGTAGGTTGTAGGAAGCCTCAAATGGGGCTCAATGCCATCAGAAGTTTACATAGTAAAATGTTCTTTTCTCCTGAAAATGAAAAGGATACTCTTTCTCTCCACCCCTCCGGGATGTGATATGAATGAAGCTTTTCTATTGCTATAAGGCTGCCATCAAACTGTGTGAAAATGTTAGGTTTGACGTCTCTGTTACTTCTTTTAATCTCTCTAAGTGCAATTGGAGGCGGAAATATTACTTAAAGTCCTTCTGCTACAACAGCACTGACTGCAGAACATTAAGAGATTAAATGGGAGCATTAGAGCAAAGTAAGAATGGAAAAAAAATGGAGAGAAAGGGTCTTACTGAAACTATTTAAGTGCAAAACTATATTTGTGTCTTTCTAGGGGCTAAATTATGACTATTATAAATGACAAGCATCTATTAGGGTTTGGAAACATAATGGTGACATTTGCTGTATAGCATCAGGATTAGCTCAACATGCAATTTTTATGTGTTGCTAAGCTTGTTGGAGTTTTGATTCCCCACTGGTAATGTGTGTTGTTGTATTGTGTATGTTAAAACTAATGGAAAAGAAAGAAGAATAAACAAAATGATGCTACTTAGCTGGCAACTAAAACCTGGAGAATTATACTGTCAACTAACTTGTTATTGATTTCTCTCTTGGCTTTGTTTTTTTTTTTTTCTGTTTGCCTAATGCATCTTTCTAATTGTTCCTTGTTGGGTGGCCAACCCTTTAATCCAGGGGTATAAAATTGCTGGACCAGTTGCATCATGTGGAAGCCACGCCCACCCCAGTACCGGAATACAAAAAAAGTCACGATAGATCATGACAGGTCACTTGACGCGGTGAGTTTGACACCCGTGCTTTAATCTGTTTTCATTTTGCTTGGATTTAGTCTTATCCACTCCCACTGCATATATGCTACAGTACTTTTTCATTGCTGTCCACCCACATGGAAAACTAAATCCCAAAGTTATCCCAGCTGGCATTGAATTTCTAATGCTACACACATGAAACACTTGTAAAGAAAAAGACTTCTGTACTGCTCACCAAAGAGAATGAGCACTACCCAACAGCATGTCATGAAAACTGGGTAAGTGATTGCTGAAGACAGGATAGTATGGTAGAGACAAAGTGGGAAAGAGGTAAGCAAAGATTTGGATGGCCTATTTGTTGTTACCGAATTGACTATTATAAACAACACCTCTGTGATCAGGTTACCAATCCTTCTTACATTATACCACTGAGGAAGCTCAGTCAAATGAAGCAGTAATAAAAGTGAGGAAGAATCCTCATTGTGCCATAGGATTTCAGGAGGTATTTGGCCTTGTTCATATGATGGAGGCGATCTAAGGAAAGAAACAAGTGAAATAGTTAAATGTCTATGACATTGGCCCACCGCAGGCATAGTGGAGCATCTGAGGGCAAATGATTGCGACGGATCTCATTCCCATCCAGCCTCAAGACTTGTAGCTTGGAAAAATTCATGATGTCTACAAAGCTGCAAAAACTCTTGATGGTGAATTCTGGGAACAAAAAGAAAGAATTATGTGTCACTTACATTTTTCTTTTATGTAGCTCAAGAATTAGGTATTACATTCTTATCAACAAAGGCAAATCTCATTAGCTTGGATCTCCTATATGTAACTCCAGGGATTAGCTAGTTCAAAGGGAGTTTCAGTTACTCTAAAGACATAAATCAGCATTCCTCAACTAATGCCTTCCAGAACTGTTGGGTTAAGCCTTAAAATTCCCTAAGGCAGTATGGATTTTGGACATTCTCCTTTTATATTTTAGACCTTGAGGTCCAGTAGGTCTGCAAGGCAACAATGGCATTGTGGGCTGTGGTGTAAGGTAAGGTTACTAGTCCCCCTATGTATTGGGTAGAGATTGAAGAAGCAACAAATATAAAATAAGCTGTAGTTGGCCTTTAACTATTGCTACAAGATTTAGGCTGCACACATCTGGATGACCATCAGATGGCAGAAAAAAGTTCAGTGTATATCTCTGTTGCCATCTAGAGGTTAGTCAGCATTTTCAGCCCAAATACAATAGCTCTATTTTTTATGTAATAATAACATTTCTGATCCAGATTTTATTGGGCTAAGCAGTGCATCCCTAGCTGCAAAGTTGGAGGTAGCTAGGAGTTTAACATTTAAACCATTTTCATGGAATCATAGAAAAATTATTTGAATTGTACAATATACCATTATAAATCCAAAAAATCTGAGACTAGGATAATTTTTTTTTACAATTATTTTCATCATGAAAGCCGAATTGTGCCATTTTCCTTTAATGGTATTAATCTACCTATTCAAAGCAATTCTTATTAATAGGTGACTAAAGCAGCAACTAATTCATGAAATATGTCTAAATATACGTTAAATTTAATTGAAGGTTTTTATCACAAACATAGAATTGAAAGATTTAAAAGGGGCCTTTAGGTCATCATATACAATTTCATACGATGTAAAAGTAAAAATCTCCTTTGAGTCAAATTGACTCCTAGTGACTACCTGCATTTAGCCATGTTTTTGTGGCCACAGTATAGACAGGTGGGGGAATTTTGGAAGTTGAAGTCCACATATCTTAAAGTTGCCAAGGTTAAAAAACACTGGTATTATTCCAAGATCGTTTTTATCACTTGTCAAACCAGAAATAGGCCATGAATTTCTAAGAAGCATTCAAAAAAGCTGATGAAAATAATTAAGAAAAGAATATTAAAATTACAAGAAATCCATTTAAAACCAAAGTTGAAAGAAACTATCACCACAATGGGTCAGAGGCAATTTAAAACTCCATTTAAATAAACCAAGGGGGGCAAAATGAAAAGAAGAAAATCAGCAAGCGTTACTTTAAGACCTGAAAATTGAGATAGGTAGCAGTCAGGCTTTGGAGCTTTTACTGAAAAGCCATTTTGTGCGTAGCTTGGGTTCTGGGGAGAAATAAATAATTTAGTTGGAAACTTCTTGTTCTTTTAGATCAGGGATGTCAAACTCGCAATGTCACATGACATATCATGACTTTTTTGCCATTGCTGATAATGGGGTGGGTGCGGTTTCGCTATGATACATCCAGCCCGCGGGCCGGCAGTTTGAAACCCCTGTTTTAGATCAAGTGATATATTGTGGGAGTAGTGGTTTATTAGAGTACTTCCATGAAAAAAAAACAAACCCTCAGAGTTTTAAATAATTTATTATTTTCTTATTTACTCTTCTATTTTCTTTTGGATTGGTTTTAGTTTTTAAATTATTTGGGCAAGAATCTCTTTGTGGATTTAATCTACCAGTAACCTATACCAGGGGTCTTCAAACTTGTCCCTTTTATGACTTGTGGACTTCAACTCCCAGAATTCCTCAGCCAGGCACCTGGCTGTGGAATTCTGGGAGTTAAAGTCCACAAGTCATAAAAGGGACAAGTTTGAAGACCCCTGACCTATGCTATACTACTAATGTTGATGGCTACTGCATAAACAAACTTCATAAGTAATTGGGAGATATATGTATTGTGTTGCCCAAAGATCACAGAGATCTTGACAATAAGAACTGTCTAAGAACTAGGCTTGTTTTCTTCTCTGCCATTCTTAAGTGATTGTTCTTACGGTGAGATTCTGAAGGCTTCCAAGGCAGATTGATAGACAGATATATGCTGGAGGAAATAAATTGTATTGTTCCTTTTAAGCAGCCAGAGGGCATTCAAAGCTTAGTTATTTGAAACAGATTCTACCCTTAATCAACTTTGATTCCTGGTAATTGGGTAGACAAATCCTTGCAGTTTTCTTGCTAAGATTTCAGAAATGATTTGCCACTGAATCCTTCCTAAGGCTGACTGGCCCAAACTCACCTAGCTGCCTTCATGCCTAAGGTGGGACTAGAACTCACAGGATTGCAGGAACTGGATACAGGTAGTCCTCAATGTACAACCACAATTGAGCCCAAAATTTCTATTGCTAAGGAAGACAGTTGTTAAGTGAGTTTTACCCCATTTTATGACCTTTCTTGCCACAGTTGTTAAGTGAATCACTGCAGTTGTCAACATGGTTGTTAAGTGAACCTGTTTTCCCCATTGACTTTGCTTGTTAGAAGGTTGCAAAAGGTGACATAGAGATACTGCAACCATCATAAATATGAATCAGTTGCCAAGTGTTTGAATTTGGATGACGTGATCATGGGGATGCTGCAATGGTCATAAGTGTCAAAAATGGTCATAAGTCACTTTTTTCATTGCCATTGTAATTTCAGATGGTCACTAAAGGACTACCTATATATCTAGTCTAATGAAGAGAAGGACTAGAGGTGACATGATAATAATCTTTCAATATCTAAGGGGCTGCCACAAAGAAGCGGGAGTCAACGTATTCTCCAAAGCATCTGAAGAAGAAATGTATGGAATCTTATCAAAGAGAGAAGCAACCTAGAATTAAGGAGAAATTTCCCGACAGTGAGAACAATTCATTAGTGAAATGGCTTGCCTTCAGATGTTGTGGGTGTTCCATCACTGGAGGCTTTTAAGAAGAGATTGGTCAACCATTTGTCTGACATGATATAGGGTCTTCTGTTTGAGCAGGGGCTTGGACTAGATGACCTCCAAGGTCCCTTCCCACTCTGCTATTCTGTTATTCTCTAACCTCCAATCCCTTTGTGTTGTATAAATCAGTCAGTGTGTAGGTTAATTCTGCTACATTCTTTTTATATTTAAATTTGACTTAGGTAAAAAGGTTATTTGTTGTTGATGTAATGAAGAGGAAGAATGAAATATGCTTTACCGATCTTTAGCCTTCCACTTTTTACAAATAGTCAAGCCAGTCTTGGCCTCATCATGGTTCTAGTGAAGATAAACCAATGCCATGGCCTGGGAACCTCACTTGTCCTTTAAATATCATTCAGTAGTCAAACCACATTGACTACATGATCGCTGAATGGTTTCTAAAAGAAAGACCATCTGCTGCATATCAAAGCAGCAACATTCAAAACTGAGAAGTATTTAAAAGGTAAAACGTAAGGAAGAGCAGCAGTCATCAGGAGTGGGAATATTATAATTTCAATTTGCTAGATAATGGCATATTGAAGAAGAGCAATTTTTTTTTTGCTTCCATAGTAAACCATAATGGGATGTGTAAAAACACCAATGAAACAAGTTCCCAATCCTATTTTATCAAACTGCTATTATTTTAGTGTATGTGCAGAACTCTGCATGTTACTATAAAACCACCAGAGAAAGTAGAATAGTAACTCATACCATCTGTTAAACCTCTGCTGCCCGCAGTGATATGCAGGATTTGGGAAAAGGTCTGAAGTGGGAAGCAGGCATTCCTTTTTAAGAGAGCGGAGAGCTTTTGGAGCCTGAGTTGCTACACACTGCTGTATTTTTGCAGTATTACAGGCCTTGGGCCAAATGGTTCTGGCTGATTTTTAGAAACAAATTGCCTGCAAAGCCTGTTTGCCTGAATCCACAGTAGTATCCTACAGTATTTGCAGCACAAAAAGCACTTATATGCTGTTTTCAAAATGCCTTCATCCTTCTGAAAGAACTACTTTTTTTTTGTCTCTAGCCTTCAAATTTTCAATTCAGCATCTTAGCTGAGATTAGAGTTTGAACTCTGCAGATGAGTCAAAATGAAAATGGGCGAAAGAAAATTGACTATTTTTCATTTGAGAGGCCTAAAGAGCAACAACAAAAAAGATTCTGCGTAAGAAATAAAAGTCTGCATTATCTTCAAAGTCTAGCAACTTTCAGGTCTATACTCAGCACTAATTTTGCTCCTGTGTCTTCTTGTTCTGGTATTTTTCTTTTTTACTTTGGGGAAGAAAAAAAGCATCTGTCTTATGAAAAAAATGTTAAAAATACTTCAAAGGTTAACTACAGAACTCCTTGAAAAATGAAGGAATCCATAAAAAGGAATCTGGAGAAACAATGTAATTGTCTGTCACAAAGAGCCAGAGATTTGAAGAAAAGTTTGAGACTGGCAAAGCTGTCTTAACTTTCTCCCTGACTTGATGATACCTTTTTAGACCCCTGACAGGCGTAAATTTGATAAATGCAACAGGTACATGGATTCAGAGGATTTTATATATTAATATACAATTGAGATCAGAGGTATTTCTTTTGGGATTGATAGAAAACGGTTGGGGAAAAAAAGTCATGAACTTTGTTTTCTACAGGACAACTGCAGCAAGATTATTGTAAGATGGAAAGATTCAGCACTACTGATAATGAAGGAATAGTTGGAAAGATGGTAGAATTTGCCAAGATGGCTGAATTGACTTCTTTGCTTCTAGAAAAGACATAGACAACAAAAGACATCAATATTGATGATTAGGCAAACTAGATTAGAGAAAGAAGAGAGATATGTTGTAACCATAGAATAGGGGTCTTCAAACTTGTCCCTTTTATGACTTGTGGACTTCAACTCTCAGAATTCCTCAGCCAGCATGCCGTTGCCGATAATGGGGTGGGTGCGGTTTCGCTATGATGCATCCAGCCCGCGGGCCGGCAGTTTGAAACCCTTGTTTTAGATCAAGTGATT